CCTGGCCCTAAAATAGACAGTACATAAAAAGTGAGGTCTACAGATTTTTAATTTGAAGTATTCTGCACATCATGAAGTCTAACTGTTATCATTTGAGATTTTGAGGTCCCTGTAGGACATAGAATTTATACTTAACTTAAGATGGACCTCAGTCACATCCTGTGTCTCTACATTGCTATTTTACAGGACAGGAAGCACGTTGAGCTCCGCTGTGGTGAACATTTGTTCGTCTTGTATTGTTGCAAACTCACAATGAGTGGCAGTGTGTGTGTGCTCATGGATGTGTTTGTTCCTTCTTAAAATCACCAGAGTTTCCTGTGGTATTATTCCACATAAAACCTACAGTATCGTCAGGATATTTTCTCTAGCGGTATTTAATTTGTGCCTTTATAGAGTTTATAATAGGATTACAGTCGTTCCACTGTGCACTGCTGCTCTTTTGTGTATCACAACTTACCTACTGCTGTGTATCTGAGAGCAGTCGGACTCCCCTGGTTTCACATGTGACCCGTACTTCTTAGCGCATCACTGTCTCTATTATCATCGAGCCAACGGCACTCTTAATCCGGTGCTTTTGACGACCCAGTGTCAAGACTTTCCTGGATGTTGGACAGGTCTCTGCTTGACAAAAAGCCAAAGTACAGCTATTCAGAAACCACTTCAAAACCCCAATATCCGAAACCGATACCGTCTTCAGTGATCTCAGAGCCTCGCATCGCTCAGTACAGCTTTGATGAGAGGTCATAATTCGTGTTGGTGGATCCTGCCTCTGTCTGTGGACTGTAGCTGGTGTTTGGTTCATCTTTCCTCCCCGTTGTAATTGAAACAAGCAGACTAAGAGCCATAATAGGCTCCAGGAGCAGTAATTGAATAGAATAATAACAGGCTGTTAACACAGTTGTTAATTAGCATTTGCTGATCCGTGCCTATCTACGCAAAACAGCTTGGAGCCCATATATTAAAAAAGAAAGATTGAAGAGGCAAATGGGTTTCTTTTCATCTGTCACACTGGGGTATATGCCTCCCCAGTGAATGACTTTGTAATGTGTGGGTGTGGGGTGGGGGGTGGGGGGGGCAGGTTCATGTTTTAACCTTCAGTCTTACATTACTTACTGTGCACATAAATATAATTGTAGTCAATATATTACATTAAGAAACATGAATTGCTTTTCAAAAATAAGGCCAATTGTGTCTGTTTATGGAAATAGTTTCATGTATAGCTTCATGCATAATGGCACTGAAAAATGAAACTACAGAACACGTGGCTGGGCAGCCTGTTCACTTACCCATCTATTAACAATGCGCAGGACTTTGATTGTAGCAACTTTATGGTGATTCTTTTCTATCTTAATTCAAGAGCCCGTTCTAGATTTCCTTCACTCCATATTCAGCTCCTCTCCGCGCTGCTACTGTGTGCACGTGGATAGGGCGGAACAATTTAGGGACCACATTACACCTGGCTTTCTATTGGTTAGGGGAATTTTAAAAGACTTGTTGCACACAAAAAAATCTAAGCAGAGAAGAAAAAAATCCAAGAACAGAGATGAAATCTGAGAGCAGACGTTTTTTACTTGCACAGAAGCAGAACTGACTCTGGAAATCCATCGAAGCAACAACGTATCCGAGTACAAGCCGAGCAAATCTAAGCACATGCAGAGGCTTTTTGAGTGCGAGTGCAGGTTTTTGAGTGAAAGCATTTCAAAATCTGGATTTGAGTCCTGGTTTCAAACTGAAAGAACTGACTCTTGAATAAAGACAGCTAAGAAAATAAATAAATCTTTCTCACTCTGCCATTCACTTTGTCTGTCAAGAACATGTGAAGAGCAAAGAAACACATGAAAGATTATGTAATGAATGTAAATTTAAAAAACTTGACATCTGGCTTCTCTGTCCCTCCCCCCAACACAGAATGTGTATGTGAACATCAATCGGATCATGTCAGTGGGGAACCGGCTCCTGGAGTCAGGCCACTACGCCTCGCAGCAGATCCAGCAGATCTCAGGCCAGCTGGAGCAGGAGTGGAAAGCCTTCGCCGCAGCGCTGGATGAACGCAGCACCCTGCTAGAGATGTCCGCCAGCTTCCACCAGAAAGCAGACCAGGTAGGACGCAGCTCTGATAATGTCACCTCGACACATTCATGCATTGGGACAGAACACAGTGTTACTGTTAACATGTATATAATTATTTGGATGGATATACAAATAAATCCGTGCTCTTGTGTGTTCCCTCATCAGTACATGAGTAAAGTGGAGCCATGGTGTAAAGCGTGTGGTGAAGGAGAGCTGCCGTCTGAGCTCCAGGATCTGGAAGACACAATCCACCATCACCAAGGATTATACGAGCACATTACGACTGCATACTCTGAGGTCAGCGCGGGCGCACACACGCACACACACACACGCAAAACTCTTAAAATTTCAAGACATACTTATGTCCAACTTAAATTCTGAGGACCTGAGACATATCATTTTCAATTGAGATCCTGCAATGTATAAATCAACAAATCAAACTTTCACAGGTAAGCCAGGACGGCAAGTCTCTACTCGACAAACTGCAACGACCCCTGACCCCTGGAAGTGCTGACTCATTAATGACGTCAGCTAACTACTCCAAGGCCGTCCACCATGTCCTGGACATCATCCACGAAGTGCTGCATCACCAGAGGCAGCTGGAAAACATCTGGCAGCATCGCAAAGTTCGCTTGCACCAGCGCCTCCAGCTGTGTGTCTTTCAGCAGGATGTGCAGCAAGTAAGCAACTCAGGCAAACATACAAACAAAGCAAAGTCCAAACTCTGACCTGCACATGTGTGAACATCAGCAGCTTTTTTTGTACAAATGGGATGAAACACACACACACACACACACA